TGATTGATCGATTGTTTGGTTGATTGATTGATTGATTGATCGATTGATAGGTTTGATTGTTTTTTTTTCGGGGGGGGGGGGTCGTTTGCGGAGGGGGTGTTTGTTGCAACCTTTATTTTATTATTAAAAAAATAAAAAAAAAACTTAGGGGTGAGGCAAGTTGTCTGTCGAACTACGGTAACCCCTCCCGACATCCTCGTGTGTGTGTGTGTGTGTGCATGTGCCGGGGGGCAGGGGCGACCCCCCGACCACCAACTAACCAATCAATCAATCCATAAATAAATTAAAAAAAATAAAAATAAAAAAAGTGAATGAGAGCACGTTCGTGTATATGTACGTGTGTGTATGGTGGAGGGGGGGGCTACCCCTCCCCATCCAATCAATCATTCAATCAATAAAAATAAAAATAAAACTTAGAAAGACAACAGCGTGTGTGTGTGTGCAAGCGGGGGGGGGGGGAGACGATCCCTCCCCCACCAATCAATCAATCAATTAATATATATATATATAAATTGATTGATTGATTCATTGATTGATTGATTGATTCATTGATTGGTTGAGGAGGGAGGGGGCTCGCGGGCCCAACCAATCAATCAATCAATAATTATATGCGAAAATATTATTGAAAATAAATCGGGGTGGATATTAAAAAAAATCCAACCCCCCTATCGGTTTCAAATTTTATTTATTTTTAATTAATAAATTACTGTGCAATTTTAGAGACAGGTGCGTAACACTATAATCAATCTGTAAAGGAAAAAAAAAATAGGGCTAGAAACGACATTTTGCAGGTTCCAAACCCGTAGGGGGACGGACCTTGAACGTCGGGCCGAACGCTCGAACCTACGCAGGTCGGTCCGTGGGCCTCCGTATGTATGGGTTAGTAACACTATATATATATATATATATATATATATATATATCACCAAACAAATATCATCCTATATAAAAATAAATGTATATATTATATTGATATATAAAGTATTATACTCCTTTTATTATATGTTGCTATGCAACCAGTCTTAATATTTATGATACCTTTAGCCGTCTAATGTTTGTACGGATGTCCTAGTTTGGGCCTACACGTTCATACCTAAAACTTCAAAAAAATAATTATAATTTTGAATATAGAGGTAAATTCAGATAAAACTTATTTGTACCAATTGAAATGGTGCACAACATACATTTTTAAAATTAATTTATAATTTATATTTTTCACGGATGTTCGTAAATTTTATAAATGACCAAATTTATAAATGTTGAGCACAAACATTTGAACGCGCGATACGGATATAGACAAACATGTAACATAGGCTTTTAGTGCATTTAAGTTTATAAATGATTAAAAATATACATGTTTATTCTTTATAAGTTTATATCATAAAAAAAAATACATCCTAATAATTGATTTATATAAACTTTAAATTATACACATATAGTATGAATCCTTCTCTGATGTGTTTTTTATTTGCAGCTGCACTTTAAATAAAGCTAAAAAAAATTGAAGTCAAATAAAACTTAAATTAATGATGTTCGATGAACTTTCTTCTCAAACATGACACATATAATATGAATCCTTCTCCGATGTGTTTTTTATGTGCAAATGCATTTTTAGTAAAGCTAAAAAAAAATGAAAGTCAAATAAAACTTAAATTAATGATGTTCGATGATTTTTTTTTTCTCAAACATGGCGAAACACTTAAGCGAGAGTTACTATTTGCGTTTTTGCCTTTTGTGGTTGACTACATGATTAATCCAATTTACATCTCTTATATCAGGATCAACTATTCACTTTCTCGGCTTCTGTAATAAACATATTACCAATTCAATGAATCCTTTCATTAATAAGTTATATTTTTCAATTTCATCAAGTTCCTTGATGATTTTGGTTTAAATTCAAGTTATACATGCCAATGAGGGTCATTTTTCTACCTACCTGACTTACTTATTATTCTCTTTTGTTATTCTGATCGATATATAAATTAGTGAATCTTACACTTTCGTTTTTTTAACTTTCGCCGTACCCCTTATATACATACGGTCACACACTTAAAAATTCAAGTACTTGCAGAAACTTAAATTATAAGTATTAAATATTATTAAAAGGTTCAGATAAAAGTTATATATACGCCTCGTCGATTTCCATAACATATACTTTAAGAATAAGGAAAAACAATTATGTCGTTTATAAAAAAAAACTCATTAAAACGAAACTCACACATTTGTTTCTGTGACTTTCGAGATGTTTCATTTATTATCAGTTAGATAGTAATCAAACAATAAAATAAGAGTTATCTTTCTCCTTAACTTTTACGACGAACGAAAAGTTACTCTATGTTTTTTTTTTTTTATATATTTTTTTATTATAATAAAATATACTAAAAATTAAATAAATTCCAACGAACGTCATCCATACATCTTCTCGGTTTTCAAGATGACCTTTATGAGCATCCGAAAAACAAACATAACTAAATTAATTCAAGCGAGCGTTACCCATCCATATTCTCCGCTTTCAAGGCGAGCTTTTTGGGTATCCCTTAAAAAAAAAACATTCACAAAAGAGTTGTTTTTTCACGTCCTTGCTATTTTCCGTGACTCTTTTGTACACTACAAAAATTATTCATTTTCTTCGAGTTTCCAGCTTTCTTGCCGACTTTTTTTATAAACTTTTACAAGAGATGTTTCAGCATCATATCATTTGAGCGAGGATAACCTCTTTACTTCCTCAATTTTTCAATTGATATTTTTCATAAATTTAATAAAAATATACTTCAACATTATCTATTGAAAAATAAGAGGTTATCAATCTAACTATCAAATTTATGGGATTAACATTTTCATAAAAATTCAACAAAATTCACCACGTGACGTGACTCACTCTATTATTATAATTTTTTATTTTTTTATTTTTATTTTTAGAAGCCTAAATTAATTTGCCTCTCTTAACTCATCATTTTAATAAACTGTAGCAAAAATGTATTTCACCATTGTATCACTAAAATAAGGATTTAAAATTTATCTCGCCTACTTTAACGGAGCGATGAGATTTTTCCTCGCATGACCACCAGCAATGTCGTCGAAAATTTCATGAACAAACAATATATTTTCATAATAACAACATAAAAAAAACAAACAGGTTAAAAAAATTAAACAAAAAAACTCAAAAGCACTACAAAACCCTATTTAGAGTAGTTTTTTTAGTTAACAAAAATTTTCTCAGAATTCGGTATTTTTGCCAATTTTTTTGTTAATGGTTTAAATACGTCAAAACTGAATACATAAATATACTAAAGCACGAACATATATTAAAAAATATATATATATATATATATCAGTTTTTAAATAAAAATTTACAATCATTAGTTTTTTCATTTTGATTTTTTTTAATGAACTTAAACAAATCATCCTCATTTTGTTTTGACACTTTTGAATTTAATTAAAATTTGAGTTGATCTTCGTAGCTTAAAAGTATGTTTTCACTATTTTATTTCCTTATCACATTTGTTCAAAATATATTTATTTAACTTTTATTTTAGTACACTTGCAAAAATACTTCGCAACCAAATACATTTCAATTTTAATATAATATTTTAACATTTACTAGTTGTAAATACATCAACCTAATACATACAATTTAGAGAGTTATAAAATAAAGGATACAGGGCTAAAGGTGTAGGTTTGCATTCCCATC